TTTAAAAGAATTTCTTTCACCTTTATTACAGTAAAACCAGGGATGGATTAAAAAGTAAGTGGCAATGAAGAATTTACTGGAGGTGCAGTAATTCCTGCTCTATTCTTTTCCAACCCTGGGCCTGCTCCTCAGAACTTGAAACAAACTCATTTAAAGTTTTTTTTTTTTGAGATAGTCTTGCTCTGTCACCCAGGCTGGAGTGCAGTGGTGTGATCTCAGCTCACTGCAACCTCTGCTTCCCAAGTTTAAGCGATTCTCATGTCTCCGCCTTTGGAGCAGATGGGATTACAGGTGTGTACCACCACGCCCAGCTAATTTTTTTTTGTATTTTTTTGTAGAGATGGAGTTTCACCATGTTGGAAAGGCTGGCCTTGAACTCCTGGCCTCAAGTGATCCTCCTGCCTTGGACCCCCAAAGTGCTGAGATTACAGGCAGGAGCCACTGCGCCTGGACTCCTTTTAAATCTTTCACTTGGTTTTGTTTTGTTTTATTTTCCAGCAATATAGGTACTCAGGCTTGGCTTCCTTTGCCCTTCTTCATCCATCACCACCTCCAGTGTCCAGAAATTTACTTTAGAAATCTGTGGTCCATATGTCATGTTCCTAGGGATTAAAAACTGTTCCATTAGTGCATAATCCTGGAAGAAAGGCTTCTGAATTTTACAATCAGAATGCAGGAAATGCTGTAAAGCACCTGACTGATGGTCCTGTCTTCCAGACCCTGATTAAGTGACATCAAGATGCTAATGGCAAAGTTATTTAACATGTCTTTCTCCAAAGCTGGTTAGAATTTCGCTGGGATTCTTAAAATTTGAGAGTGTCTATAACTGTCAAAATTTTTATTCATATACTCCCTTGTGAAGTTTCTAAAACTCAGCTGGGCTCAGTGGCGCACGCCTGTAATCCCGACACTTTGGGAGGCCGAGGCAGGCAGAACATGAGGTCAGGAATTCAAGACCAGCCTGGCCAACATGGTGAAACACCATCTCTACTAAAAATACAAAATTAGGCTGGCTGCGGGTGCAGTGGATCACACCTGTAATCCCAGCACTTTAGGAGGCCAGGGCAGACGGATCACAAGGTCATGAGTTCAAGATCAACCTGACCAACATGATGAAACCCCATCTCTACTAAAAATACAAAATTTAGGTGGGCATGGTGGCATAGTAATCCCAGCTACTCAGGAGGCTGAGGCAGAAGAATCCCTTGAACCTCAGAGGTGGAGGTTGCAGTGAACTGAGATTATGCCACTGCACTCCAGCCCGGGTGACGGAGTGAGACGCTGTCTCAAAACAAAAAACAACAAACAGAAAAACAAAATACAAAAATTAGCTGGGGGTGGTGGCACACTCCTGTAATCCTAGCTACCAGGAGGCTGAGGCAGAAGAATCGTTAGAACCCAGGAGGCGGAGGTTGCAGTGAGCTGAGATCGCACCACTGCACTCCAGCCTGGGCGACAGAGCAGGACTGTCTCAAAAAAAAAAAAAAAGAAGAAAAAAGAAATTTCTAAAACTGTATTTCTTTGCTCATTTTAGGTTGACATCTGTAACTTTGTATTACTTTAAATACTTGGGAAAAATATCACTTCCAGTGCATTGTAATAATGTATCAAGTAGAAGTGACAAAAATCAGTGAAAACATTTCTTCTAAGATCTGAATAAACGTTCAAGAAAATAGAAAGCAGGAACTTACCTCTAATCTATGTTCCCTTTACTTGAAAATGTAATGTTGACCTACCAAAGGTAAGGCAGAAATTGTCTCATCCATATTCCCTGCAATTATTCAAAATGTGCATCTGAGATCAGAACAAGACACAGGTGAAGGAGGGTGCTCGCTAGGCCCCTTCTGCTAAAACAGAGGGTGACAGTGCAGTGGAGTCCTTTCATAGCAAGTCCTGTCTGCATGATTTCCAAAGCTTGAGTATTCCAAATCTAAGGTAAACAGGGCAGTATCCACTAAACCCTGACACAAACTCGTTGCTAAGATGAAGGAAGCCACTGCTGCAGTCAGTATTTCTCACCCACACACTTTGCTGTCTTTCTGGCTGGTGTGGGAAGGATGGCATCATTGATGACACATAGGAAGTAGAATCAAGTTTATTAAATAAAAGCTTCCACCACTCCTGCCACCCCACTACAATACATCTATTTCTTTTTTCTTTTCTTTTTTTTTGAGACAGAGTCTTGCTCTGTCGCCCAGGCTGGAGTGCAATGGCCTGATCTTGGCTCACCGCATCCTCTGCTTCCCAGGTTCAAGCGATTCTCATGCTTCAGCCTCCTGAGTGGCTGGGATTAAAGGCTCTGGCCACCTCACCCGCCTAATTTTTGTATTTTTAGTAGAGACGAGGTTTCGCCATGTTGGCCAGGCTGGTCTTGAACCCTTGACCTCGGGTGATCCACCTGGCCTGGCCTCCCAAAGTGCTAGGATTACAGGTGTGAGCCACTCACCCAGCGATACACGTATTTCTAAAGCCATGTTTCTACTTAATGGTAATATATACAAGACTTTGGAGGGACACAAGGCCCTATCTTGGGCTTATATTGTCTCAATTTAAGGAAGCCACATAGATTAAAACATCAATATTTTAAACAGCCCCTTTGACATTCTGAAGTTTTTTTTAACTTTCTAGAATATTGTATCATCATAAGAGTAAGGTTGCATGAGAGGTAAGCCTTTCTTTTTACATGAGGTGAAGGCCCAGTTCTCACTGCAGGTTAATTAAGTTTTATGAAAGAATACATAATGAAACTGAAAACCTGAAAATTGATTATCTTAAAACTATTAGTGCCCACATACCCTGTGAAAATTCCCAGTTATTCTCTGGATGCCTTAGTTTGAAGAGCCTGCCTCGCCCAAATGAATGCATCCTGTGGCAGGAAATGTATGCATTGTTGGGTGCCAGTAGTAGTGATGCTTTAGAAGTGGACCTATCAGAGTGCATTGTATAAGCTGTCACTCACTCATGCATAAGATCTGTCTCAGATGCTGCTAGCAATTTTTAGAGGTAACACTAGCTGAGCCTTAGGATATATTCCCTCTAGAGAAGGCCTGTGTTTGCCAGACCACAGGTTGATCAGAGGCTAAGCACAACCATGAAGTAGAAAGCCTTTATTCCTTCCTTCTCTTCCTTTAGGATGATTTTCACTCCCAACCCTATGGACACCCAGAAGCCTCTGCTTTCATCCTTCCCAGTCAGCTTTTTATTTAAAGGGATCTCTGTCTTCAATAACACTGAAAAATATAGGATGGCTAGCAGCTCAAATTGTAATTTTTGCAAGGAAAATTTGTTTTCTAATAGCCTTAAGTCAATATTCAGACACTTCTATGCCCTGTTCACAATGTTTGCCATATTTGTATACTGTGTCTACTGTCATTTTCTCTTTTCTCTCTAAGTGGACTCACCATTCTACACGTTTAATTTAGAAGAAAAACTATCGTATTTCCACCACACCGAATAACCCTGCTGCCTTAGCCTGCATTCTCCAGAAAGCCAAGCTAGAGATAAAGGTTTGAGCAAAGTGATTTTTTTGGAAACATGGGTCCAGCAATGCAGGCCCAGGAAGGAGGCACAGCCAGTATAAGGAAGCCTCACAGAGGTGACCACTGTTAGGGGCCACTGGTACTTGATCCCATGGGGACTTTCTAGGGAGCCTCATTCAATGTGTCTCAGAACTCTTCACCTGGGAGGCAAAGGAGGAAGCAGTTATCCACCAGCTTCCAACCCCCTTTGGTCAAGAGCAGCTCAATGGGCATCGACTTCCCTGCATTTCTGGATTGCACATGCTTGAGTGCAGAACTTCCAAAGAATGCCAAGACATCAGAGAATCCCTGGGTGGGGCCAGACTCAGACTGTGGATCCTGCAGGCCCATGCAAGGTATTGTCAGGTTCCACTTGTGCAAACAGGTACACTGGTCCAGGATGGGTCAGCTGCTCACCCACAGGAGCTCCAGAATCCTACAACAAAGGGATGCACAGGGGTGGGTGGCAAGCTAGCTGGAAATAGGAGTCATGGGCACGACTAAAGTCCTCCTCACCCCTCCTGAGGTGCACTCAACTGTGGCTGGGGTGATCAGAGTTCACTGTCCAGTGTGGCTGCCAGGAGTCCAGTCTGAAGATGGTGGGATGCAGAGCTGGGAGTACAGTTGAGGGTGGTCTTATGAGCTGAGCACTCTCCCAGAAGTGTCCCCTACATATGAGGTCGACAGCTCATTTCTGCAGGGACTCAGGAGTAACTCTGGGTGCTAAAACAAAACTTGAGACCAGCACAGAAACAGCCAGCTCATGAAGCTCGCCTCCCATCACACAGCAAGGCTAGCGGGCTACCCCTCCCTCTTTTCGGGCACCTTTCTTCTCTTCCACTAGGCTTGGTACTCTTGGGTGTTTCATGTTTGTTAGTTTGTGCATGGGGGTGAGGGAGGCTGCTGTGTAGTTTGCCTTAGCCACACCCTCTAAAAAGTATTGCAGCACAGTTTACAATACCAAAGACCTGGAACCAATCCAAATGCCCATCGATGATAGACTGGACAGGGAAAATGTGGCACATATACACCATGAAATATTATGCAGCCATCAAAAACGATGAGTTTGTGTCCTTTGTAGGGACATGGATGAACCTGGAAACCATCATTCTCAGCAAACTGATAGAAGAGCAGAAGATCAAACACCGCATGTTCTCACTCATAGGTGGGTGTTGAACAATGAGAACACATGGACACAGGGAGGGGAGCATTACACACTGGGGTCTGTTGGGGGGAAATAGGGGAGGGACAGTGGGGGGTGGGGAGTTGGGGAGAGATAGCATGGGGAGAAATGCCAGATATAGGTGAAGGGGAGGAAGGCAGCAAATCACACTGCCATGTGTGTACCTATGCAACAATCTTGCATGTTCTTCACATGTACCCCAAAACCTAAAATCAATAAAAAAAAATAATAAAATGTTAAAAAACAAACAAACAAACAAAAAGTACCCGTTAGAAGACAGTAGCAGAGGGAGCTTCCTCAAACACCATCCCCAACTCATGGCACTGACGAAGTACTTCTGGGCAAACTCAAATCCTCTGTCAAGTAACAGGAAGTGAGAAGGGGGAAATGTCACCTCTCTGACGGATCACCAAAAGCAAAACGGAGTGACTTCTCATTGTTTTATAGACTGCAAAAAGAGAACATCTCAGAAGAGAGCCTCTTCCTGAAATCAAAGGATTTAAAGAAAAAGTGAATTTTTCTTCAGCAAGTAAGTACATTTACTGTTATTTTACTATGGGATAACTAGCTGATAGAACTAGTTACCAGCAACCTGACTGCTTTTTAACAAACATACCACAATTACCACCTCCTGGATCCGTGCTTGCCCTCAAAGGAACACTCAGGGTCTCATTCCCACAGGAGGCTGTGGCTTCCTGACACATTTGGAGCATCATAGTCAGAATTGTGGCCCAGATGGTAGCAAATATTATTTTTGTGGGCCATATTTGAATTTCTCAAACCAGTGAAATTCTAGTGAAAGTGGGAAAATTGCTTGAGCTCGGGAGGTTGAGGCTGTGGTGAGATATGGTCACGCCACGGCACTCCAGCCTGGGCAACAGAAAGAGACTCTATCTCAAGAAAAAAAAATTCTGGCGAATAAGTCTCTTTTAACTAATCCTGCCTAAAATGGATGATGGCTAATAAGACAATATGGCGTGGCTGGAACACTAGCTCCACGGTGGTCCCCAAAGACGACACTCATGCATTCTCTGAGCAGCACTGGGCTGTGTCCTGCTAGCAGCCTGAAGGGATGACGGTGGAGCACAGTGTTCATTTTCATTTCTCAATTTTGATGTATTTACTGGAAAATTAATCACTAGCCGTCTCACATGAGAGTACACGTTTTTTTTTGAGACAGCGTCTCGCTGTCGCTCTGTGCCTTGCCCACCTCAGCCTCCCAAAGTGTTGGGATTACAGATGTGAGCCACCACGCCTGGCCCTGGAGTACATAATTTGAGTAAGTAATGGTTGCAGTGTGTTTTTTTCCATCCTTTTTTACTGATAGACTTTTCTATTGATTAAAATCTTGCACCCCTTTATGATATATTATTTGAACACAGGGTTTAAAGAATTGAGATACTTTTTTTTCCTATGTTAATATGTCAAGAAAGAAGTTGTTTCATAATTTAGGTTCTCCCTTGGACAAAATACACCCTTACTGCCTGCTCTGTGCTACTTGGTATGTTCAGAAGAGGATTTGAACTTTTGTAGGTTGGCTAACAGATATGGAGGGTCCTTACAGTTCTCTGTGTTTCTAACAAAGTCTTAACCACATCCATTAAGTAGAAAACCCTTTCATGGAAGGGCTGTGGTTGATTCTTGGAACCAGTACAAGGTAGGGTCTATCACAGAATTTCAACTTGCGTTTTCTCAGGGTCACACCATGCTTTAGAGGTTGCTTAGGTTAAGATCTCCAACTAATTTTAACAGGCAACTAGGGAGTTTTACAACTGACAGTAGGCACATCTTCCTTCCTGGATGAATTTTATTTGTTCCTTTTTCAGGTTGTGAAACTATATCCACAATCTTTGAAGCCCGGAAACACTATCCAAACTCTGGTCAGTGTGTTTTCTCACTGGAGAATCCTCTACGTGTGGCAATTGGATTATCATCAGCCCTGCCTGTTTTGTACCTGGAAAGTGCCCTGGTCTTACTTGGCTCCAAATTGTTGGCTTTCACTTTTGACCCCAAGCATCTGAAGCCATGGGCCACACACAGAGGCAGGGAACACCACCATCCAAGGGTCCATACCTCATGTTCTTTCATCTGTTGGTGCTGTTTGTTCTTTTTCACATCTGTCAAGGTAAGCAACTTTCAGGAACTTAACTGAGTCAGTTGGTACAGGGTTAAGAGAAAGGAGGTGGGGTTCTCTGAGCTGCTCCCTTCTATTACCCTATAAGCTGGAAGGAACCTTCAGGGTGTTTTCAGTACATTTTAAAGATAAAAAAACTGTGGTCCAAAGAGGCTAAAGGACCTGCCTATCCTCACACAGCAAGTTAGCAACCAAGTTAACTCAAGAACCCAGACCTTCAAGGAAGGGTGAGAGAGGCAGTATTATTTTTAACAAAATCATACAGCCAGAGATTCACAATGGTCTCGTCCATGAATAAGAGATGCTCATTTATATTTTGTGATGTGCCAGTACTGGTCTCAGAGTCCAGTCCCAAACTATGTTATCATGATAGAAATCAGCGAAGTATTCTGCCTCTAAAATTGAACAATGGTGATCTTTCCAATTTGAAGGCAGGAGAGTAGTTGAGGACAATTCCTCTTAATGACGTTAATCTTCTTAATCTTAAATTCCTCTTAATACATTAATTTTATTTGTTCTGCTTTGGATTCTGAGATCTTTTATCAACATTGGCATTTGACTTTAAGTGGTATCAGATTTAGCACAAAATTATATTTTTAGTTATTTTTAATCTGCTACATAGGTATTACATATATGTCCTGCAAATAATAATTCGACTTCTAGAGGCTTTTGTTCCTGCTCAGGTGATCTTAAGAGTGCTGGACTTTCGGGACTGTCAAGAAGGGTGAGGCTTGTCCCTGCTGGCAGGATGGTTCTGACGTTTTTTTTTAAGTCAGAAAACAAAAGATCTACTTTTTAGTGAGCAGCATACCTACTGGTTTCCCAAAAATAAAGAAGTAGGTTGGGCTACAGCATGGTTTGCCAGTCTGCAAAGATGCAACTATTAAGGTTCCTGGCCTTAAAAACTCCTCACTTTAAGTACTGCCTAAAACATCAGAGGTATGAGAGAGAGGCAGAGGGAAGGGAAGAGAGCTGGGGACACACAGATTACTTGACTGCAATAGTGGTCCTTAAAAATTTTCTGTCCAGAGCTATTTTACATTGTTTTAGAATGAAGGGAACCATGGCTTACATTTCACAATTTACACCTCAGATTTTGTATATATTTGACAGTTATATTACATTTCCAACAGTTACAATTTCCTTCTGGGAAGTTGGGGGAGCACTCCCAAACTAGTCTTCTGGGAAGTACAAGGGAGTTTAAAATATTTAGAAGGAAATATGTACAGGTTTCCCAGAAATTAGGGGGGGCAAGGAGGAAGAGAGCCAGAAAGAGAAAGAACAATAAAAAAGCAAAAGAAGACATAAAATAAAAATTAAAACCCAGACTTTAGAACTTGTACCAGGAAAATTAGAGTCAGAGGTACATGGAAGGAGATCTTTGAGCTAAATAAAGATGTTTAGGAAAGCACCTTGTTCTCCAGCTACACCCTGGTTTTACTGCTGCTATGACTGAGTCAATGAACCACCGACGGTGCGCCAGGTGGGCCGTAAAAATTGAGGCTAGGATTCCTGCCCTCAGAGAGGTTTGCCTATGTTAGTTGGGGGAAGGCAAAGCTAACCCATGTAAAACAAGCAAAAAGCAATGCATTACTTTCCCCTAATTGTAAGAGCCCAAGATCTGGGAAATGGGGTACCAAGCTGGCCTGCAGCACAGAAGGTAGGCTTTACAGGGGCAGATGGGTAATGGAGAAAGAATTCTGGTCAGGGCAACAGCTGTTCACTTTTTGGTTTAATCATTTATTAATTCAACAAACATGAGCATCCCATGCATGCAAGAGACCATTCTTGGTCCTGGGGACAAGTTGTGAGGAAAATGGACATGGCTCTTGTGTTTGTGAAATTTGCAATATCATTTGAAAAATGATAACTAGGAAGAGGAAAAGTCATCCAATAATCACTCGAATGTGTGAAGGTGTGGCCAGCAAACAAAGCTAAGTGCTTTGAAGGCAGGGCACAGGCACTGCCAGAGGAAGTGCTGTCTTCCCCTGCCAGCAAGGAGTGGCAGTGAGCTAGAAAAGGAGGAGAGGAGCGAATGGCCCAAGAGAAAGAACCAGGCCCCACTGCGCTTGTGAGCTAGGGTCATGAATCTGCATGTTATTCAGGAAGCTGGAAGGGCTTTACAAAGGGGAGTGGTGTAGTCTTCCCCAGCTCTGTTCACACTTTAATTACACATACCAGTCACCTAGGGGTTTTGAGGCACAGGGAATTTTTTTTAGAGAAGTGAATCTATTTTGCTAATACTGTAATGACAGATATAAGTTATTGTGAATTGTCCCAACCCATAGAATATTGCAATATCAGGAGTGAACCCTAGTGTGAACTCTGGATCTGGGGCGGCGATGATGTGTTATTGTAGATTCATCAGTTGTAGCAAGTGTACTGCTCTGGCGCAGGATGTAGATGGTGGGGGAAGCTGTGAATATATTGGGAGGGGGTATATGGAAATCCTCTGTACTTTACACTCAGTTTTTCTATGAATCTAAAACCGCTCTAAAAAATAAAATCTATATAGTTTTTTAAATGCTGTTTCTGTTTAGGTGGGTCTGGGATGGTGCCTAACATTCTGCATTTCTAAGAAGCACCTAGGTGATGCTGATGCAGCTCCACCATACACTTTGAGTTTCAGTAGTAAATCTCTAAATATAACAACAACAAAAAGGGTTACTGAAGAACAAGGAGTGGCTTGTAGGGTATCCGCAGTGACTGTGCAAAACCTACCAGGAGGTTTTTTCAGTAACTTACCATACCTGATGATGTCTTTGATGAAACGAATTGAGTCAGAGGGAAGTCAATGGATTGGAGAGTGTGTACCATGTAAAATTAGTGAGGACTGCCCAATAGGAGCATAGGTGTGAGTTGTGCATGGTCTCTGAGAGGTGAGATTGAGTGAATACAGTGGAGAAGGATTATAGAGGGCATTGTTCAGGGCAGGGATTTGCCACAGTAGGCCCTCCTCTCCTGCTTTGGGTCAGAAGCCACACCCTGGCAGAGGTGCTCTCCCCCTCCCCCTGCCCAGCCACTAATGCCCAAGGGAAGGGACCCTTCTTTCATACACAGGGTGGAACCAGCCAGGCTCCTCTTTCCCTCTAGGTCGGCAGGCACTGTCTATGGGGGCAGAAACACCTGACTTTGTACTCCAGCAACTGGTGGCAGTAAGGCAGGGGCTCTAACAGGGCTAATCTTAGAAGGGCCAATATGGGCAGCTTTTCCTTCAGAGCCGAAGTCCTTTAAGGGAGGCTCAGGTCTAAAGAGGAGGCAAGAGATGCAGGAAAAGCATTGCCTATAAGTTTATAGTCTGAGAACTCAGAGCTAGGAGAAAAGAGAATACCCCAAAGTGCCACCATTCACAGAACACATCCTCTCCCCGCAACACATGCCTCTATGCTGCTGGCCCAGGGGTCCCATGAGCAGTGATTGTTGCCATCATTACCCTGACAACAGTTCTTCAAGTTGCTGGGCATTTTAAGGATATAAATACTATTTAGAAAGAGAAAAGGAGCAGTGTGAACATCAGGGGACACAGGTCTCAAGCTTGCAGCCACCAGACGCAGCTCTGCCTATCTCCTTTGTGTGGCTAGCACCCAGCCCAGGGCTGACACCAGCCCTGTAGGTGCTAGTTCACCTAATCAAACATTTAGAATGGTCCAAATAGTCACTCCTGTTGGACAGGTGTGCATAAACCAGGAACGGTAAAATCAGGTGGCGAGATAATAGGTGACTTTGATGCTTTTCTGTATCTTCCATTATTTCTTAGAATGTTTATTTTATAGTCAGGGAAAATGTTTATATTTTTTTCTCTCTCTCTCTCTTTTTTTTTTTTTTTTGTTTTTTTTTTTTTTTTTTTTTTTTTTTTTTTTTTTTTTTTTTTTTTTTTGAGACGGAGTCTCATTCTGTCGTCAGGCTGGAGTGTAGTGGCACGATCTCGCTCACTGCAACCTCCACTCCCAGGTTCAAGCGATTCTCCTGCCTCAGCCTCCTGAGTAGCTGGGATTACAGGTGTGCACCACCACACCCAGCTAAATTTTGTATTTTTTAGTAGAGATGAGGTTTCACCATCTTGGCCAGGCTGGTCTGGAACTCCTGACCTCAGGTGATCCACCCGCCTCGGCCTCCCAAAGTGCTGGGATTACAGGTGTAAGCCACCGCACCCAGCAGAAAATGTTTATTTAAAAAGCACACTTGTGTTTCCAGGGAGGTCATGTATGTCATGTCATTTGGTGAGTTTTAAGATGTGTCAACTGTTTCTCTCCCTTCTCCACCAGGAGTGGTGATGCAGCCCTCAGACCCCTGCCAGGGCAGCCTCTCTAACTCCCTGGGAGGGGCACTCTAGCCTGGCTACCGCATCCACCCAGCCTCCAGCCATGGTGAGGGTGGGGAAGACTCAGGTCTTCCTAGAATGGGTTCTTTTTTTCCCTTTGCGTTTTATTTGCAATGACATAAAATTCAACATTTTAAAGTATGCAATTCAGCTAGCTGCGGTGGCTCACGCCTGTAATCTCAGCACTTTGGGAGGTCAAGGCGGGTGGATCACTTGAGGGCAGGAGTTTGAAACCAGCCTGGCCAACATGGCAAAACTCCATCTCTACCTAAAATACAAAAATTAACTAGGCAAGGTGGCCTATACCTTAAATCTCAGCTACTCAGGAGACTAAGGCAGGAGAATCTTTTGAACCTGGAAGGTGGAGGTTGCTGTGAGCCAAGATTGTGTGACTAGACTCCAGCCTGGGTAACACAGTGAGACTCTGCCACAAATAAATGAAGAAAAAAAGACAGAAACAAAGTGTACAATTCAGTGGGTTTTAGTATATTTGCAATGTTGTGAAACCACCATCACTATTGAATTCCAGAACATTTCCATCATCCCAGAAAGAAACCCTGTGCCTATTTGCAGCTACTCCTCACTCCCCTCTACCCCTTCTCCTCGTAACCACAGTCCACTCTCTGTATCTATGAATTTGCCTGTTGTAGACATTTCTTTTCTCTCTCTT